TACATATGAGGGGTGATTTCATCCCTTAAAACCGTTTTTCAGCAGCAACGGAAAATGTCAATACTCATCTATTGACCTCCCTTACATGTGTGCAAAGTTTCATCAAAATCAGAATTTTCGGGTTCGCGAGGTTCCCTTGTTAGTAAGTAACAAATAGTTTTATTTAGAATCAGTAACAAAATGTCTCACTGAATGCCATTAACATTAGTTTTAAAGTAATTGATTGTAAAAATTTCAATGGCTAAATTGATAGAGTGCCCGCTTGGTAATCAGAGAGTTCTAGGTTCCAGGTTCGAATCCAGTCGAGATGATTTCTAACACAATGGATTTTTTCTACAAGGTAATACTAAGACAACATAGAGAATAACTAAGAAAACTTATTCGAGAACATAAATTATAAATCTAAGTCATTTTTTTATATTATAAATGTCATTTTGCTATCAAATTGTGTTGCGCAAATCTTGCTTCATATTTGGCGTCAATTTGGTCTCAGATTATGTTATCAAGCTTTGCTCGGTTTTTGGTAGCAATTTGCTGTTACTTTTTGTCGACAAGCTTTGGCAACAAAATCGAACCCTAATGCGAACACAGTTGATGCCAATTTGCTGAATATTTTTGCTTAAAATTGCTGACAATTTGCTGGCAAATTGCGAACAAATTGTTTACTGGGTACAAACATTAATACACTACAAAAACTATTTACGGTTTACCTGTTCGAGAATCTCAACCATCTTTGACAAAGTATTACAAGCGGAAATAACACCTGTATTATAATGCAATGATGTTGCAGTAAATTTAATATACATCTCTAAATGATTAAATATAGTTCCACAACCATCAAATCCTGGTATAAGAAAGACTTGAGTAGCACTTTCCTTGTTTTTAGGCGACAAGTCTACAAAAATTTCAGAGATGAAATCTTTGTTTTGTACAATACCAAATATGTTCTGCTCGATTATCTTATCAGATGTAGCTTTTTCAGATGTTTCTTCAACAATGGCCTTTGTGTTAGATATATCAAAGAGTTTTGCAAAGGTGAGGCTTCGTATTTCTTGTAAGGAGAGATACACGTTGAAGTCACGTTCCATAGTTTGTCTAATCTCCACTGCCATCATAGAGTCTATCCCAAGCTCGGCCAGAGATGTAGTTTGACTTAATTTTTTAATGTCTTTTATATCTTATTGCATAAAATGAGAAAACGTCAAAAGTTAGAATGAATATGTTAATTAATGTTAACACAATAAGAAAAATATAAATTTTGTATGTAAATTCTTACTCATAATAGCAGCAACAGTTTCACTGATATTAGATTCAGATGCTCTCTGTTTCTTTTCAGCCACTACCATACTGCTTACGATCGGCCGATTCTGAAGTAAGAATTTGTCGAGTTCGTTAAGGCAAGATAATATTCCTTGTTGCAGCGTACCACCAATAACGAGTTTTTTGTCGTTCTCCTGCATGTCAGCAACAAGACCTACATCACCTATAGCTCCCCACTGTA